AGAGAGGGGGGGTTATAGTGGCTGTTAAGGAACCAACAGATTGGGTGAATAGCCTCGTAGCTACACAGAAGTAACTCTTTCTGGGCATGAAGCCATATTGCAGCTCGTGACTTTAACTCATTAGGACACTCTAATAAATTTTTACACCATGTTGAATGCGATAAGCTCTGAACACAAGTTTTTTTTTCTTCTTCATGCATTGATCTTGAAAAATGCTTTTTCTCGGGGTCACCCGACCGAGACTCTTAAAACATTTTTTGCTTTCTAGTACAACGGAAAATCTTACATATCAGAGGCTATCAATGGGCTCCATAGTAAGCCCATCCTTCTTTAATTACATTCTGAGACAATACTTGAAAAATCTTGTCCTGCCACCTGGAGTTGCTCTCCTTCAGTATGTCCGACTCAGAAAGCATAATGACTACTACAGATGCACTGTGGATGTACTTCACTACACCCGTACAATTGCATGTAATCAGATGCTACACTTCTGTCTTAACATTTGTGTTTATGAGGTTTCAAATATTTAAATTATATGTATTATATGAATTTAATTAGATGTTTAGTATAGATGTCATAGTTAAAGGTGCTGTTCTACTGGACTACATTACATTTAGAGGTGTCTCAATATTTTTGTTCTCCCCAGCTACTTACATAATAAGAGGGTCAGAATATTAGGAACACCTAATATTCTAGCGTGGTGTCTCAGCTGCTGTCTGCTCCATGTGCAAAACTGAGCACCGCCCTCATTCACACAAACACAGAGAGGAGACGCCACTCCCTAGAAACCTCAGAGAATGCTCCTCGTTTTTTCATGATTTTGAAACTTAACTTTTTATTCTTGGTGATTTATTTGATCATTCAAATCTGGCTGGGTGGTTATTAACACATTTTCCTGTGGTGTGACAAACTCAGAACACATTAATTTCTACTTTACCCAGACTTTAAACTCATAAGGTGACTCAGGGAATGTTTCCATCTTCAGCAGATGAAGGTGAAAACCAACACACAACAAATAGCAGTATCTGTAAATGCAGTGCTGATCCAGGACCAGGTCTCAGTGTCCCTGCAGAAGAAACCAGCAGTTGATGACTGCAGCAGTTTTTAATGAGAGAACTGAATGATTTTTGGAATAAACTGGCTAAATTAATGTGACAGCAAGAGTTATCACAGAAACAAAGCTTCTGTGTGTACACATCAGTAAAGTGTGTTGCATTTTAGTAATTTCTGGCATTTTTCATCATGTTATCTGTATTTTTCTCCTGTCTCCAGCCCAACACTATGACCGTGTGCATGAACTCCCCCTGTAGAGCAGTTGATAGTGACACCAAGCGGCCACTCGGTGGAAGGGCATTAGGTTCTTTTTATTATAAACAAAGGCAGGGAGAGGGTTTCAGTTCTTTCTTTTACCAACATTTCAAAACATCCCACACACACATTAAAGTTGAATCCAGATGAGGAACAGGTCAGAACAAATGAGGATATGCAGGTTTTAAGTCCACATATCAGGGTTTTGAGTGAATCCAGCTCCTGGCTGAGGTTTACATGAGTCTCCGTGGTTTCAGCTCAGTTGTTTTCTTGTTCTTGAACCAGGACCCAGAAGCCAAAGAGAGAGCTGTGTTACTCCGGTAGCACATATACTAAAATTGGAACGATACAGAGAAGATTAGCATGGCCCCTGCACAAGGATGACATGCAAATTCGTGAAGTGTTCATTTTTATGAAATTAGAACAACTGGAGCAAATTAGAACAAGCTCTCACTCCATCTCTAAACAGGTTTATCCATGGAAAACTACAGCAAAACCACATCAAAATGGACCGTTCTGTCCACCAGTATATCTACGGAAGGACAGTGAAAGTGCAAACAGATCACAAGCGCTGGAGATTATCGCACAGAAGCCGCTGAGCAAAGCACCGGCATGGCTGCAGCGCATGTTTCTGCAACTCCAGAGGTATGATCTGAACATCACTTACACACCGGGCAAGCACATGTACATTGCCGACACACTGTCCCGTGCAGTGGCTAACGCAGGAGCAGATATAAATGAAAACCCCTGTGATGAAAAAGTGGTGTATGCCATAGAGCCCACAGATGCATTGAGCGAGGAGACGCTCAACCGGCTGAAGGAAGCAACTGCAGCTGACAATGTGTTACAAGCTGTGTGTGAGAAACACAGGAACGGCTGGCCAGCGAAACGACGCAGCGTGGACAGAAGTCTACACAGCTACTGGCCAATGCAGCACAATATCAGCCTGCAGAATGGCATTGTGATGGTTGGAGACAAAATCATAATTCCTCAGAGCTTCAGAAGAGTGATCTTGGATAAGCTGCATCTAGCTCATC